AACTATCATTACTTGTATAAATTTTCAAGTTTTTAGATTTAGCAATCTCTTCATCTAATATTCTACTTTTATGATATGCAACTGGATGTGATTTGTGTGCTTGTTGCGAAGTGCCACTACCACTGCTACTAGTAGTATTATTATTGTTATTATTTTCATGTTTTTTGATTTTAGGAAATTTGAATAATCTTTTTATTAAACTATTATTACTATTATTATTTTTCAAACTCTCATTTTTAACAATTTCGTTATGTTTATTTTCAGCAAATGTCAAAAGCTCTCCACTAGTTGGTCTTTTTGATGGATCCACATCCCAACACCTCTGCATCATTTGCACATAATCGTCAGGCATTCCAGGCAGTATTGGTGGTCGTAAACCTTCACATATATCAAAAATCAAACGATGATTGTGAGATCTATCATCAAATGGTGGATGTCCTACAAATATTTCCCACATTAACATCCCAACACTATAGATATCTGATTCTTTGGTGTTCTTCGTGTTATTTCCTCTAAGTAACTCGGGTGCAACATATGATACAATTCCATAGACTTTATTTGATGATTTATCATCAACTGGTCCACATAATCCCAAATCTGTAATATAACAATTACCTCCTCTACCCATTAATATATTACCACTATGTAAATCACAATGAATTAAATCTTTTTCATGTATCTGATATAATGCAAAACATAAATAATCAAAGATTATAATTCTGTCTTTTAATGTTAAACTTGAATGATTTTTCTGTAAATAACCCCTTAAATTTCCATCTGATAAATAATTTAAAACGATTGCATAATTTCCATTATCTGGGAATTTAGTTATACCATTGCATTTAACAATCAATGGTGATTTGATTTTAGAATAATTTATTGCCTATTGAATATAAAATCAATTAGTACTATATAATACAGTATTGTTTATTTGTTTAAATGACAACTACCAACCTCATCAAAAAATCTTTTTCCTGGATTACTTGAATCATTTAAACTTTTTAATACTACTATTTGATCTCCAAAATAACTAAATTCCTTTGTATTTTCGTCATAATCAATAATAGTTCCTCTAGTCCATGTAGCGGTAAAAATCGAACTAAATCCATCTTCTGTCAACTTTGTTATATCATAAAATTGCTCAAAAGGTATCCATTCTAAAATATGTCTTGGCAAAGATGATTTCATTTGACATTGTTGAATAAAATCATCAATTATGTTATTTCCAGATGTCCAAGTGGTGAAAAGACTCTGTAATTGTAAACTAATACAATCTTCACAGAACCAATCAGAGTATTTTGTCAATTTACATTTGTTACATTCTTTTGGTTTTCCCAATTTATAACTTGCATTTTGTAATTCAAAATCATAAATAAACCTTTCTTCACAATATTCTTTTTCATTTTCAGAAAGCTCCTCATTTTTTTTGACTAATGAAAAAAAATAATCTTTTCTACTTTCGCTATCTACTGCATTAGCACCATTAAATATTTTTCTATAAGTTTTATATACAAACTCCTCTCTTTCTGATGATAACGATGATAATAGTTTAACATATGACATTATATAAAAATATAAAATATAAATTCGACTTGATGTTTAATGAATGTAGAGATATAAAAGCTGCCGTGTTATGTAAGGTTCTTTTCTAAATGTCGTAATTTTTATGTAGATTTTTATATTTAGTGTAATATTTTTTTTTTAATGCTTCCTAACAATTTTACCCAAATTTGAATGCACGAGAAACATTCAGTTATAAAGAAGACTCGTTAAAATCTTGAAACGGTAAATCCGGTGCAGTTACGGTAACAAATCACGAATCTTCTAACATTTTGTTGCTCCACTTTAGTAAACTGAATTGTTGGGATCAAAATCAAAGGGTAAAACTTCGTAATGAGTCGTTTTTTTTTTTCTTTTTTTGGTATGCTGGCTTGAAATTAATTTGTTAAAATTGAAATTTGAACAAAAATATTTATTTGGCAATCGAAAAATTATCTATTTTTTTCAAAACGTCAGGGTTGGGCGGAGCAGATACTTGACCGAAAGGAAATCGTGTTCAGCTTTAGAGGTTTTTTGCGTGGTGTCTACCGCTGTCTACCATTAGGTCTTCGTCTTGCTCTGATGTTTTATATAGACCAATTGAAATTACCAAAAACCTGTGGAGACTTTACCTCAGATCCCAAATCGTCTCACGACGTGCATATTTCGGGACACAAGACCGGAATTCAAAACCATTTTTTTGTTATTATTTTTTTGATTTTAACCATTTGAGGGTTAGTGTAAAATTTTTTATTTTAATTTTCTTTCGGAGAAAACAAATCTTTGTCAAAGGGGGGTTTTTTTAATCAAGAAAAAAAAATCATAGTTGATTTTTTTTTTAACAATTGAAATTTGTAAATAACGTTGATGTTTGCATGAATTTTATTCTTCTATAGCGATAGATTTGAAAAAAAAAAAAATTTCAATCGATCAATTGGCCTTTAATCTGGGTTAAATACAAGGAAAAGATCACAAATAGATTGTTTTTTTTAGTCAAGAAAAAAAAAGTTTAGTTGATTTTTTTTAACAACCGAAACTCATAAATGACTTTTGTTTCACATTAGGGTTCTTCTTTGGAAAGGATCTTTTATTAAATTTATTAAATTCGTGAACAATTTCTCTTTGTACATGTAATAAATAAATTTTTGCTCAAC